TTTTATTTCTTCTGGGGTAGCATTTTCATTTATTTCTAAGATTTTGTAGAATTCTTTTACCATAATGTCTAATGATTTGTAGGAACTTCTTGACGGGCTTGATATTGCTGTTTATTTACTTCATCTAGTTCAAAGCGAAAGGTGGCTATTTTTTCACACTGACGAGAGATTTTTTCAACATTTTCTACAATTATTCTGCCTTGGCGAAGTTCTCTTTTAATCCTCGTAATATTGTCCTCATGAGTTTCAATATTAGCCTGATTATAATTTTCGCGAGCACTTTTTAACCTTTTATAATTTGCTTAAATTATCGATTTTTTCCTCTAAATCAGCACTTATTTCTAATTTGCCAAGGAAAATTTTTAATTTTTCTTCTTTTAAGCGCAGTCTTTTGCTCAAAAGTTCTTCTTGCGAACTTCCTACTAGGCTTTTTAAGCGTTTAATTTCTTCTTCTTTCTTCTTTAATTTGTTTTCTTTTTCTTTCAATTCATTATCTTCTTCTGCCTTTTGTTTTCCGGACTTAATTTTCAATTCTTCTAATGACTGACGTGCTGTTTCTAATAATCGCTGTTTTTGGTCTAATTTATTTTCAAACATTATCATTTAGTTTTCTTTTTCTTTACGAACTACACTTAATTCTTCTTTTGTGGTTTCTAATTCTTTATTTTTCTCTATCAATTGTAAAGAGGTACTTTCCAATCGTCCTTACAATCTTATGTTCTCACTCTCCAAGGTTGACTCAATATTTTGGTGTTTCAATTTTTCACCAGCAATATTTATTGCATTACTAATTTTCTCATTACTCAATTCATCGCTTAATCGTTTTCTCGTATCTTCGTGTTTTTTCTTTCAATTTTCCTTATCAGCACGCAAATCATTACATTCTCTTTCTAATTTATCATACTTTTCTCTTAATGAAATTATTTGCATGGCGGTCGAACCAGTATCTTTTTCGTGAAGTTGATAATTTTTTTTTAGCAACATGGTTATACAATAATATATTTTAAAAATTTCCTTAACTTTACTTTTTTTTGAGATAATAAAATCAATTTATATATATGCTTTCTCACGAAACAACACTTTCCATTATTAAACCTGACATTATCAAAAAAAATTTAATTGGTGAAATTATTAATATTTTCGAAAAAAAAGGCTTGCGAATGGTTGGAATACAAATGCTCCAATTGACTTCCCAACAAGCCGAAGAATTTTATAAAGAACATAAAGGCAAAATTTTCTTTGCC